AACATTATTCACCGACACAACAAAACTAGGGTAACATCTTAATGATCTTACCGAAGACATAATGTTCATCCCATCAGATATGTCTGGCACAGACAAACAGTTAGGGGGGACAGGCAGATATTGAAGGATATAGCCTTCTTGTGGAGAATATCCCCTTGCAGAAAGTTTTCTTTTGGTGTCTTCAGGCAGTTTTTTAAGCATTGTTGCTACCTTTAGAAAAAAAGCATCCCACAAATACAACTATTTTAGAAGAAAATAATAAAATTAAGATGCCATTATGTCGTATCATGAAAAACTAATTTCAAGTTCCAAAGTATTGTCATATAGTCTATTCTCCAATGGAAAATAAAAAGCATATCCATAAGCACGAGAACATGATGTCTCCATAGTACAATAAGTTAACAAGGAAAAGAAAAGGCACTCTATTATATACCTTTGCCAGCATTAATAAGATACTTTATACAAAATCAGTGCCAAGCAACATTAGTTACAAATTATTTAGGCTTGAATTGCAGAAAAAATAGCAAGTTCCATAAAGATGCCCTAGAGGGGCACCCAAGCAACTTCAATTGGTATGTTTTACAAAAGGAACGAAATGTGTTAATGAGGTACATACAAATCAACTGGGATGCTAAGTGTGAAAACATATACCCATCTACTTTAATTCTAGATTCTTCTTTCTGACATTTAATAACTTTACTTTGTACAATTGTGCAAGAAATGAGAAAAGTGCTTACTGGATGAAAATTTGGCACAAGAGTTAAAGAAAAGGCAGCATATAATTCAACAAATAAGCACCAAGGCCAAGAAGAAATACGTCTGTAAACTAACAGATTACATCTGTAGGCCAAGAAGAAAATCATGATTACATCAAAAGGGTTTGAGTTTGACAAGCCAAACCTCGGAAGGAAGTAATCTACGAGAATAGCCATCACCATATCGAAATCCATATTTCTCCAAGAAGCTCCAGATGTCATCATTAGCTGCATCCTTTGGTACTTTCAACTCCAGATAGCAAGCGCCATCCGAATTTTTAACTTCAGTTACTGATATTTGTGATACATCCTGCGGAAAAATGAGGTAATGAAGCACACAAATCATGTTGCTCAAAGTAATATTTCATCCAACCGTAGTCTGTATTCGCAGAAATAATAAATTGGAAATTTTTTATCATTGAACTTGTTATAGTTAAATGAGAAAGAAGAAGCCAAGGAAACTTTTAGAACTTCAAAGCATGGACGTTGATGGGAACTGGAGAGAGAAGATATGCTGAGGCATATCATTCAAGCACATAAATTGGGATCAAAAAAGACAAATCCCTAAATTTGGATTAATGCGTCCCAAATAACATAGTGTATTAGAGTGAAGTCTAAACATGTAATGCTGAGCCATTACATGTTTCAGATTTTTCCTAAAAGGAATAAAATAGTGAAGTCTTCACTACATTCAGTACAATGTGTAGCGCAAAGAAATATGAGTAATAGGGAAGTACACAGAATGACATTTTTACATAATAACTAACCTCGCAGCACAAGGGCATCATCCTCTCAAGAACGCCAATATGCTTCACCTGAAACTAAAAAGCACGCAGTACAAGACAAAACATCAGATTAAAAAGACAGGGTCTTCTTGCAGCAATGACAAACTCCCATCACACCAATACTCAAATTTACAAATCTTGAAGTATGAACATCATCAATTTTTAGCAGCCTCATATTGTATAGATAATCTGGAAGTATCAACAAATGATGAAGTATGAACATCATCAATTTTACACATGTTGAAGTATGAACATCATCACTGTATAGTTTATACAATATACATTACTAATATATTTTAGTAGTCTCGTATTCAAATATAACTTAGTATTACTCCCTCTGTCCCATTATTTACTCCTGTTCCAATTCAATTTATTCATATGTGGTAGTATTGTATTGATACCTTCCTGTTTGTTAACTTGAGACACTTTAGGCACAATAAGCTAAGCATCCTCTTCAACTCACTAACATGATCAGGGTGATATATAGGTGTGGGCAATTCAATATAGCCAAAATGACCTGAAATGTCAGTACAACAAAATGAAATTCACATTGGTTAACTGACCATGAGCTCAAGACAAAGTAATACATGAAAAAGAGTGTGGAAGTACACTCTTTCTTACCTTCACATTGCCCGGGTTCAGCAGTACCACACGATTCACATTTTCCAGCTTCAAGCGGAAGGCCCAGAAAAGGGTTCAGAAGCTGGCTAGGATGATTTATAGGGCAATCACTTACAGAGGCTTTCACCTGCACAAAAATCAAATGTATTGAATTACTTCTCAAAAAAAGGACCTAGCCTGGATAATAGTTATAATGTGTATGTATATGATAGAGTAATGCTAGGCAGACAAAATACTCACAATTTCTTGGCGGGTAGCCAAACCAAATTTGATGCCCTTTATTGTCCCATTCAATACATTACCTTCTTCCATTTCTATTCACAAAAGCTGGAAAAAAATCTAGAAACAAAAAGAGATATATTCATTAATTTTTTGGTTTAATTAAACTAATTAAACAAAAACAACATAAAAAGATCTAATAAAATAAACACTGGTTGTACTCCAATAGATTTAATAGAGTAAACACTAAAAAGAGAACAATTCCAAAAATAGAGAACAGATCAACAGAACAGGCAATCCAAAAACAACATAAATGGATTTAATAGAGTAAACACTAGTCGTTGCACTTCAAAAAAATTTCACTTTCCAAATTAAATTAAATTCAAATGCATTCAAAAGTAGCAATGCTGAGTCATTCCAATTTCCAACACCCAATATTAGTCTCGTTTGAACTTTTTTTCATTTTCTTTGTGGTTCTTCCCCCATTTCCAGTAAATAATGTGTTCAACACACCGCCAAATACGATTATTCCGTTCCTTAATCTCAACTGCAACCCTGCAGGTGAAAGCTTGTTATTTCCAGCAAAAACGAACTACATAAACATTTCTACACTTCTAGCAAAGACCAGTATCAAAAAACGACCAAGGCAAATATATGTATAATACAGCGCTGGGATCATCATCCCTCATTAGCACGATCTTTAAGCTAAACAAACAAACAAACATATAGCGTTGACCAAAACCCAGAACCATGAGCAACATTGAAATCCTCCGAGCAAAACTCACATGCAGATAAACATAACCACCGGGTTGAACCACACGATGCCCGCGCCAAAAACCCTAGTTCCCATTTCAAGAAAAAACCCAAATAAACAACAGATATGGGCCATTACCCCCCAAAAAAGCTAGATTTCAAGGGAAAAACACCTCTAAACACAGCCAAAAAAATTCCCAAGAAAAATAACATTGCAAATGATAAAAAAAGAAAAAGAAAGAAAGAAATGCATACGATTAATGGCTTTACACAGCTCAAGAACTAAGAAGAATGTAGAGAACGAGAATGGCCTCAGAAGAATGGGAATTCTTCAGAGCGTTCTTTGCGGAGACTGGAGAGTGAGAGTGATTTTTCTAATGAATATTTTTCACTCAATTTTTCCCCCTTTTTTTCATTTTAGCTCTGCCCCTCCGGTGTTTGAGGTCCGATGTGCGCACACACACACTTGTGGAATCTTTTTCCTCTTGCGCTATTTCTGTAAAAACGGTAAAACGGGGATGTGAAATGACTATGTTGGGCCGCAGCTGCCCACTAGCTGACAGTACGGTGTGAGGGTGGAATAGAAAGAAGGATAAAGCTATTTGTACCCCAAACTTGTGTACCCCATTTTGTACACCGCAGGTTTGCACCGACATTTTGTGTTGGTGTAAAACTAATTTTGTTTAACGCACCAACACTTTGTGTTCGTGTAAATTTTTGTTAACGCACCAACACTTGTGTCGGTGTAAACCATCAAAATGTTTGTGTATAACTGTGGTGTACAAATGGGGTACAATTTTTGGTGTAAATGTAGCATGACCCTAGAAAGAAACCTTTGCAATGGGTTAGGGTAGGGCGACGGGACCAAAGACGTGGCGAAGCCGCGAGGGCGAAGTACGGTTCTGTAAATGACGATATTGGGTCTGTAGAACACTGCGTGGCACATTCCAATTTGTATGGATTTGGAGGAGAGGTTTGGAAATATTGACTTTCGTGGAATGATCTGATTGAAATAACTTCTGATCTTAATCTGAATGTAGCTATATATTAAAATATTTTTGATCTGATCTGGTTTGATCTGATTCCAATAAGAATAAATAGTAAGTAAAAAAACAAGTTGGGAGAACATGACTTGAGTGTGGTAGGTTAAATTTAGAGTAAATTTTACTACTTCTGTTTCAGAGTATATATCCAGTTTGACTTTTTTGAGTCAAACTGGACAAACTTTGAACTCCAATTACTCTCAATTTGTATTACATATTAGCATAATGAAATACAATTTTGAAAGTTCTCAATACAAAAAATCCAATAATGGTATGTTTGGGAACATGAATTTGGATTTTAAATCCGGATTTGGCTCAAATTCCATGTTTGGGAAACTTAAAAGTTTTGAATTTGGATTTGAATCAAATTCTTCTCATTCAACAAAGCTTAATTTTAAATCCATGCCCCTCTCCTTGTCATTTGAAATTCAAGATTTCAAATTTTAGAATTGAAATACATGAATTGAAATGAAATCCTAGTTGCCAAACACTACCTAAAGTTATTTTTATATTAAAATACTTTACAGTTTTTATTTAATTAAAGCTCAAAGTTTGTTTAGTTTGACTCGAAAAAGTCAAACTGGACAAATACTCTGGAACGGATGGAGTATATAAAATGCTAAGGTAGCTCCAAATAGTTGCTATCATGAGGTGCACTCAAATTTTGCACAGATGATTATCATATATGTCGCACAGATCATTATCACTTATGGAGCATTTCAAAAATATATAGATATCTAGTAAACGCTTAAAATAATTCAGTGACCTAGAAAAAACTTTGTTAAAAAAATATAGACACCTTATAAGCATTTTACCCAATATTGTTTGATATTTGATTTTTTTATTCTCTATTTATCTAAATTTATTTTCCATGCAGTAATTTCATGTTACTACCTCCGTCCCAGAGTATTTGTCCACTTTCAGTTTTACACACCATCCAATACACTTCTTTAATCCATTTTATCTTGTAATTTGTATATTAAAAAATTATAGAAATTATATATTAATAATCTATATGTTAAGACAAATCAAACAAGATCACACATGACTATATTTAGGCTTACACATTGAGAGAATTTGATGAGTCAAAGTGCTTAGATGAACAGTTTCAAAAGTCAAAAGTGGACGAATATAGCGGGACGAAGGGAGTATTCGATTACAAAGTNCCAGAGTATTTGTCCACTTTCAGTTTTACACACCATCCAATACACTTCTTTAATCCATTTTATCTTGTAATTTGTATATTAAAAAATTATAGAAATTATATATTAATAATCTATATGTTAAGACAAATCAAACAAGATCACACATGACTATATTTAGGCTTACACATTGAGAGAATTTGATGAGTCAAAGTGCTTAGATGAACAGTTTCAAAAGTCAAAAGTGGACGAATATAGCGGGACGAAGGGAGTATTCGATTACAAAGTTCATATGTATAACTTGCTTTGTATAAAATAAAATCATTTCTGTTTAATCTTTTGTAATAAATGGTTGGTGGATTTTAACCTGTTAAAATGGGATATTTAAAATATATAATTGAAGAAACATATAAATATAGAATAAATAATTGGACACATTTTATTGCCACTAAGCGCTCCTTTTGCAAAATTCATGGTACCTACCTACTCTACTCACTTCAGCCCCACTCACACCCCCTCCAAATATGTGGTGATTAGGCCTAATCACCACATATTTGGAGGACATGGTGGGGGTTAAAGTGGGTAAGAATCATCAATTTCATAGAGTAAAGATTATATACGCTCCAAAAGTCAGAAGCCGTGTCGCCAGCGACAACAAAACTATGGCGATAATTAATATAACCAGAAAAATATAAACCTGATATTGAAATATTGAAATAATAATATTATTCATTGAATTATGAAGTATATAATAGAGTATATATATGAGGAGTTTCCAACAAAATTAGAAATAGAGAATGGAAATTAACTACTAAAGTACAACATTTACCATAAATAGGAATATGAAGATGGCTAATAATCAAACAATACTATGACCAATACTACCATAAGTAATGTTGTTGTTGTTGTTATTGTTGTTGTTGTTGTTGTTGTCATCGTTGTTGCTGTTGTCTAACATCTCCCTCAAGCTGAACTCTGGCTGAAGTAATAGGAAGTTTGAACACTAGTTGGAAACTAGAAACCCTGATAAAAGAGAAGTCTGTTGTGTGCAGGTGGCTGCTGACATCATTGGAAATGAGAGAAATCAAACATGCGCCGGTAGCTGCTGACATCTTTGAAAAAGAGAGAAGGTTGACGTATGCTTGTATAGTAGCTGCTGACATCGAAGAAGAATATAAAATGTTATCAGAGGTGCATGTTTGATTGATGATCCTTTATATTCTTTATCTTTTTTCTTGAATTTGGGCAATGCCTCGTTTCTTTCTCAATAGTGAGATTTTCATGACTTTGTCAGAGTGGTGAGTTACCGAGGAATTCTTTTCTCTTTCTCTATTTCCTTTTTGGCTTTGCTTTTGCGTTGATTTGATTTGGATATTTATTGGTTTAACAGAAGAGAAAGAGAAGGATGTTTGATGGTTAAAATGCTGATTTGAGAGAAAAAAAGCGGGTTAAGAATTGGTGATGGAGAACAAATTTGGATTTGATATTTTGATATGATAAATTGGAGAGATACAATTGTTGTTTTTTCCTTGGTTTTGAGAGGAAGAAAAAGATGACTTGAGAGAGCTTTTTTGGAGAAGTTGTCGATTTTTAAAATTGAAGGAAGAACATCGGTCCGGTGGGCGGCTAACTAATAATCAACATCTACCATAAATAGGAATAGAAAGCTAACTAAAAATCAAACACTACTATAACCAATACTATCATAAGTAATGTTATTATTATTGTGCTCCAAGCCGCTTCTTGTTACCGTTGATCAACTTCTAGAGATATTAGGAATAATAGATGTAGTATGAAATAAAATATTATTATTTATTATTTTCCTTATTACATTACTTTCTTATTGTATTGTTACTATAATTTTTTTTCCTACTTAGATTATATTTTTCTCTTATAATTTCTATATATAAGGATGTATCCTTCATTATTTAATAAAACCAATTATTATCAAATTGGTATTTATATAACTTAGAGAGTATTTATATATAATATTGGTATCAAAGGAATTAATTGAGCTCCATTCTATATAAGGAAGAAGATAATTAGATAAATAATACTAAGAGAGAGCATATTCTAAGAGAGAGCATATTGTATCTATATAGTTTATACGTATGAACAGAGAACCTAAGCTCATTTTTCTTGAGCATCTTTTAGAGATCAATTCTATTAGGGGGGTTCAATAATATCTCTATGCTCAATGAAATATTATTTCATCACAAGTCTCTCGATTTTTTAATTGACACAAGAAGCATACTCAGCAACTATCTTGTGTCATATTTATTTTTCTTCGTGATTTCTTCATTTTGTAATCTTTCTTTGTTGATATTTCACTATTTCAACACAACACTTAAATAAGTTCACGCCCACAATTTAACCACACACGACCACCCAACTCTGTTAGCTCTATCGTTGTCCACATAGTTCATACAATCTTTCTTCGTTTTTAACATTTGTTACTCGTCTAGCATGTGAATCATTCATCATCACATTTTGGTTGTTCATTTTCTTGGTCAGTTGCCTTCATCCGTTGTTGGAGCAGTAGATCAATTTGTAGTTGAAATTATTTACCAAATTACTTTTTCTAGTCATAGTTTTTTAATTGCTCAAGTAATGCATTTGCTCTTCTCGTCTGGCATGTGAATCATTTGTCATCAAACTTTGATTGTTCATTTGCTTGGTCAGTTGCCTTCACCCATTGTTGGAGCAGCAAATCAAATTTTAGTTGAAATTGTTTACCAAATTACTTTTTCTACTCTTAGTTTTTTAATTGCTCAAGTAATGCATTTGTTATTCTTGTGTTACAACTTGAGGGAGTATTAGTAGATGTAATTAGATTTACTTTGGCTATGTTTTTTCGGTTGGAAAAATTAACTGATAACTTTATCCAACTATTATTCTCTTCCAACTCCTTCCAATTTTATTCTAATTTCTTTTAATTTATATCAACCCCTTCTAATTTCTTACAACGATTTAAAAATGTATTTACAAATAATAATTACATAATAACATTATATATCTAAATTTATAACATAAAACCTCGAACACTCACAAAGATGAGTTCTTCTTTATATACAAAATTAATTTTCTTACATACTTCATATTTATTTTGGTGGTCATTTAATAGAGTGATTTTAACTCTTAATTTTTCAAATATTTTCTAACTCTTTCTCGTTTCCTCCAACACCTTCTAATTTCTTTCAACCACAAATTTCAGAATTCAATTTATCATAAATTTCTACATAGGCATTCATAGACGTATAGGCTGGAGGGGAGCCGAGCATCTGCATTATGCAAATTCTTTCCGTTACACCAAAATTTATTTTTTCATTAGACTTTGTTGCTTACAGAAATCTTTAATGAAATAATGACTTTTGAAGACATTATTAATTGAAGTATGAATTCATGGAAGTATAAACTAGACAAAAAACTCTTTCATGGGTTGAGTGATAGGAAGCCCAAAGCCCACTCCTTAGGTTTCATGGGGGAGTTCACCCAAATTCAAGCCCCAACGAAGGTGAAGACGTTGGCTCTTTGTGCGTCAATATATTAAGAATTATATAAACAGATATTACATTGTATAGACTCAATAACATTAAAAAAACACTATCATATTTTCCTATAAGTACTATTATTTTTTCTTTTTGTTCAAGCTTATTTTTACCACATATGTCCTTTGTCCATTTTTATATTCTCATTTTTGAATAATGCACAAAATTTCATATTTTTTAAATTTGCTTTATTTACAAATTGATGTATAAAAAGGTATAAATTACATTATTCAAAATTTTAGCAAAAGTTATATAACACAAGGCGTGGCAAAAATATTTTTTTGTAAAGTAATTGATGAAAGTAAGGAAACAAAAATAAATCATCTAGAGATTGTAATAATAAGTAAAAAGACAATTTATAGTGGAGAATTGTTGCCTCACGAGATTTTAGTGAAATAACTAAACATCACTATTCTACCTACATTCAACTCAACACAGGGAATAGTGACGAATGAAAGTTATCATGATGTAATAGTATGCTATGATGTAAATAAATGCTTAGGGGTTGTTTGGCAACTTCTGAATAGATAAATATCGAACCATTAAGAAGTCTGAACCATTAAGTGCTGAATCAGTAAGAGATCTGAATCATTAAGAGCTAGTATATTGCTTGATGGGTATATCCTTATACCCGACCCGGACAACCGAAAGGGACAGGTCAAAAAATGACCGGTCACTTTTATCAATCACCAAATGAGGTTAACTCTTCGATTGGGACGGGTCAAAAGTTGACCGGCCACTTCCACTAAAAAAGTGACCGGTCACATTTTGGGCGATAGCCAAAATGTCGCCTAATGTTACAAAGGACATTCTAGAAGACCAGAGACGGGTTGAGCACAAAGAATGACCGGGTAACTTTTGAGAGAAGGTGACCGGTCATATCACTTTACTTGGCTAACATTGGTTCAGTCTCTTAGGCATGGTGAACCACGTCAGAGGTCAAGGGGACACCCCGCCGCTCATCCATCACGAGGCACACAGTGAAAGGGATGTTTGTCATTTTGCAGGGTTGATTGGATTGAGAATATCCATTTTAGTCTTTGATTGAACAGTACATGTCTTGGCCTATAGTTGCTAAATTCTATGATTGTACAGTGTTCCCATTATCTACAGTGACCTTCCCACGAGCTTCCTATTTTGTCCATGGATGAACAGGGGAAGGTCACAAATCCTCCTCTATA